AAATTAAGATATTCAAATATTTTTTCAAAAAATTAAAGCAAAGTCCCGATGACTTTTCCCTCTCTATACTCACCATAGTGTCATGGAGATTAATCTTTCATTCTTGAAGAATTGGGGAAATCCTGTAGGTTTGGGAAGTTTCGAGAAGTCAAATAACATACTTAAATCTTAACTGAGAATGGAAACTACAACTTCACTGAGACACAAATAAGGCTGGACAATACCTTTGGATCTGTACTATAATACAAGCCACTGCCTTCAGGACAGAAAGTAAATGAGGCAAAAAGACAATAAAATTCATAATTATTACAACAGAAGGGATATTTTCCCCATTGAATTTGTTTTGTACTACTTCAGCTGTAATTGTCAACTCTAATTGCATTTCCTTGCCCTTTTCCTTTTTTCTTAAGTTACACATTTTCAAAAAGTTATCTAAATTCTTTCGAACATGTTTTAAACACTCTCACAAATTGTAATTGAGCATTTTAATTATCAAAGTGAAGAAAATCTCTTCTAACATGCCACGTTGCTGTTGAATGATTAGTCTTGTCTTTTTTCCATATTACCCCTTCACCAAATGATAAGAATGTTCCTTCATTTTAAAAGCTCTATCAGATCTCATAGATTCTCATAAATTTCATAGATCCAACAGAGAAAATACAAAATTTGTGCCCATTTTACAACTATAACCTTTTATTTCTTTAGGCATTTAGTGAATCCTCTCTGTACACTTTGCATTAATCCAACATCTTTCCAATTAAAGGCTACTCAAAACTGTATCCAATATTCTAATTGTGACCAAACAATTTCTTGTACAAATTTAGAATGGCTCTCATGTAGCTCAAAGGAAATTATTTCATCTTACACTCAGGACATTTTAAGTTCCTTACCTTTGAGGTCCAAGCATAAATCATAGTATGGAACAAAAACAGGAGTTGCTGGAAAAGCTCAGCAGGTCTGACAGCAGGTCCTCGTGTTCTGAGGAATTCGTATTCTGAGGAAGGGTCACCGGACCCAAAACGTTAACTCTGATTTTTCTTCACAGATGTTGCCAGAGTTGCTGAGATTTTTGAGCAACTTCAGTTTTTGTTCCTGATTTACAGCATCCGCAGTTCTTTCGGTTTTTATTCATAGTGTGGACCCCAGAGTAGGCACCAGTTCTAGTAAATCAAGAAGTTATAACTGATGCAAGTGCATACTCATGCTATTTGTATGCCAGGTTCGGGTTAAGGTCCGCACTGTGGCTCCATTCTAAGAAATGGCAGAATTCATAGCTGAAAGTGAGGTTGTTAACTTGCTCGCCGAGCTGGCATGTTTTCGTTCAGGCGTTTCATCACCATGCTAGGTAACATCATCAGTAAGGCCTCCAATGAAGCGATGTTATTCTGCTCCATTTGGAATTTATACTGCGGTGAGTAGTGTCATTTCCGGTTTTGATCTGTATTGGTTTGTGTATGGGGTCCAATTCTGTATGATTGTTGATTGCATTACGGGTTAAGAACCATGCCTCTAGGAATTCCCATGCATGTCTATGTTTGGCTTGGGTGACTATAGTTACATTGTCCCAGTTAAACTGATGGCCTTCATTATCCGAGTGTGATGATATTAAGGAAAGTTCTGCCGTTTTGTTGCTAGTTGATGTTCATATATTGTGATGGCTAGTTTCCTTCCTGTCTGTCCGATGTAATGTTTGTGGCAGTCGTTGCATGGTATTTTGTAAACCATGTTGGTTCTGCATGTTGTGGGAATGGGGTCTTTAATCCTTGTGATTGTTTATCGTAGAGTGGCTGTGGGCTTGTGGGCTATCATGATTTCTGGTGGTCTTAGGAGTCTTGTTGTCAGTTCTGATATGTTCTTGATGTAGGGCAGTGTGGCCAGTGTGTTAGGGCATACTGTGTCCTCCTGTTGTTGCCTGTTTAGTAGGCACCTGCATATGAAGTTGCGGGATATCCATTCATATCTGTTCAGGGGAGGTGATGGCCTAGTGGTATTATTGCTAGACTATTGATCCAGATAACATTTTGGTGACCTGGGTTCGAATCCCACCACAGTAAATAGTGGAATTTGAATTCAATAAAATATCTGGAATTAAGAATCTAATGATAACCATGAATCCATTGTCGATTGTCAGGGAAAAACCCATCTGGTTCACTAAAAAGTGTGGAGCTGGAGGAACACAGCAGGCCAGGCAGCATCAGAGGAGCAGGAAAGTTGACGTTTCAGTTCGGGATCCTGAAATGTTCGAACCGAAATGTCAGCTTTCCTGCTCCTCTGATGCTGCCTGGACTGCTGTGTTCCTCCAGCTCCACACTGTGTTATCTCAGACTCCAGCA